TGAGAGCCCAAATTCAGCGGATTGTGGGGTAATTTGGAGTGTTTAGGTGACGTTATCTGCTCCGCTCGGCTCCTGGATCCCAACAGAGACTTTGAAGTTTCCAGACAAACATATCGCCTTGTGTTTAGGGACATGTGTATGATTTCACTCCCATGTGTTCGAGCAATACGTGTCTTGTTCAGCATCTACTTAGGACTCATTTTACTGTCCGATTATCAGGAAGGTGGGTCAGCCCAAAGACACAACAGCATTCATCTGTGAGGGCTGGAATCGCACCGCCAACCTGTGGGTCGGTGGATCTGGCCTCTCTAACAATTATGTTTATGTCGAGAGTGGGATTTGAACCGCAGACCTTCGGATCAGTGGCCAAACACTAACCGAGCTACTGTCCCCCTACAGTACAGTAGGGGTGTGCAAAAATATCAAAATATCGATATATAGTTATATATAGTTTAATGTTATGATACCGTATCGATATCGGGGACTGCTGTATCGATATATCGCAAGTCTAATTTTTGGTGTATTTTACTCAATTATTTTGTTAACAGCGCTATAGTTTTTTTGCTTTTTCAGAAGAAAAAAACTAATTTATGGGAAACATTTTACATTTTCACTGTTTTAATGATTAAAATGTTTGTGTTTCATATTAACTTTTGCAAAAAAAATTGGTTAAACAAATACTTTTAGTGTCACAGCCATGATTAAGCCACTATTTTTTATTCAACCGTATCGAATCAATTTGAAATATATTGTATTGAACCAAAAAAGCACTGTATCGAGATATGTATCGTATCAGCAGCTTCATAATGATACCCAGCCCTACAGTACAGTGTGGTTGTTGTTAACTTTACTGTTGCAGAACTGTACAAAAAGTCTGCAAAACGTCTGGTGTCTGAAAATTGATAGAAGCTCTTATAAACTCATCATGGTGAATAATTAGGATGTTTTGAATGTATAAGATAAGTGAGGAATAACTCTGGACCACTGCAAATTGTTTAAAATGAAGTTCTGTTTCTTCATGTTTTTAAAGTGCCTATGAAAGATTACACTACTCATTTTACCAAAACACACTTAAGATAATTATATTCTATACAATTAGTCTGTTTTGATATTAATAAACTACGGAAGCCGAGAGGGGTCACAGCAAACGCAAACTCCGCAACAAATACAAATGCGACAACACAACAAAAAGCCGCAACACACCAAAAAAAGCCACAAAGGAAATGACCGCGTGACTCTATTTTAATGCAAACGCCGCCGTTTCACGTTGTAGTTCTTCTTCTTCACTTGCTACTTGATCGGTCTGTCGGAAAATAGAGTCCCGCAGTCACTTCCGTTGTGGCTTTTTGATGTGTTGTGGCTTTTTGATGTGTTGCGGCGTTTGCATTAAAACAGAGTCCCGCGGTCATTTCCACTGTGGCTTTTTTTGTTGTGTTGTGGCTTTTTGTTGTGTTGTCGCATTTGTAATTGTTGCGCCGTTTGCGTTTGTTGTGACCCCTCTCGGCTTCCGTAATAAACTGTCGCTAAACATAGAAAAAACTACATTTATTATATTTGCAAAACGAAAAGTACAAATTATGCTCAACAATAAACCACTAGAGAGAGTCTTTGAAAACAAGTTTTTAGGAGTAACTACAGACCATTAGTCAGTCTGGCGCCACCTAGTGCCTCCACTCAATTTAATTTCTCTCCAGCGACTAAGTCAGGAATCAGAATACACTAGAAGGTTTGCAAAAAAGAGAAAAAAAGTGCGAGTTCGGGCACCAGCCAATCAGCGAAGAGCCAGACATTCTGTGTTGACAACGATTCCCGAGATCAGGGATTTAAAGCCGGAACAAAGAGAATGTTTGTTGAATTTTATCAAGGGGAAAGACGTTATCGTCCTTCTTCCTGCGGGAAAAGCTTAATATACCCATTAACAGCACATTACAGATATCACGACCAAATAGCAGCGATTGGTTAAATAAAAAAAGTACCCGCCCACCACTGAGTGAACGAATCCTAATGCTGCGAGGTCAGACGGTTTCTACGAAGTGAAACCAGCTGATGAATCAGGCTAATAGACCATAATTTTAACTGGAAATCACACATAAATAAAATTAGAAATGAACTATCCAAAGTAATCACAATTATATATAAATATGGATATATCGTAGCTAAAAACAATCTTTAATTATTTACAACTCGCAGGTAATGCCCTACATAACCTACTGTACTGAGATTTGGGACAAGACTAATACAAATCCAGTCTTTATCTTTAAAAAAAGGCAATAAGAGCAATCGTATTATCAACTTGTAATGAACCAACCAATGCAATATTTATGAACCTTCAAATTCTGAAATGGAACTTTTTAGCCGACCTTTACACTTTGAAAATCATGTTCAAAGTAAACAACAATCTCTTGTCAAAATCATTACAGAATATGTGTAAAATCCGAAACATGACCAGCCAATATGAGCTCAGAGGCACAGCCATGTTTATAAAAAAGAAAATCAGAACAAACATTATGAAATTTAGTACATCTGTTAGAGTGGAGGACCTCTGGAACAACTGTACAGACGAGCAAAAATTGTGCACCACTCTCTTCCATTTTAAAAAGAAGTTTAAATGTTTAACTCTGGGCAGATACATGAAGTATGATGTTTAGTTTGTGCTGGAGTAAATTGTTGTACTGTTACTGATTTATTTGTTTCCTCTCGCTGTATTTATGAAGATGAACTGGTGTAATAAAGGGTAAGCATAATAAACTCAAGCTTCAGCCTACACCTTTTCAATCTGTGTATGTGACTGTCTGTGTATAAATATCTGTGTATAAATATGACCAAAATATATTAATTAATCAGTCAATATAGATTTAAGATGAAATTTCACATTATTTCCCCAGTGTGGCCAGTTTGTTGGTAGGGATTTCATAACCATTACCTGGCAACTACGATCAGTGTTGGGAAGGTGACTTTTAAAATGTATTCCCCTACAGATTACAGATTACATACCTCAAAATGTAGTTTGTAACGTAATCCATTAAATTACTTAAGGTGAGTAACGTAATCTGAATACTTTGGATTACTTGATTTGCTGTAGAGAAGCAAAGACGAGGATATTGTAACATAAGATGTTTTGTCAGATAAAAGAAAATAAAAAGCCCAGACTTTACTGAACCAAATAAAAAATATTATTGATAGAAGACGAGGAGACACGTCCACGCAGCATGATTTAGTCCTGTTAAATCCTGGTTTAGTCCTGGTTTAGTCCTGGTTTAGTCCTGATTTAGTCCTGATTTAGTCCTGATTTAGTCCTGTTAAATCCTGGTTTAGTCCTGGTTTAGTCCTGGTTTAGTCCTGATTTAGTCCTGATTTAGTCCTGATTTAGTCCTGATTTAGTCCTGTTAAATCCTGGTTTAGTCCTGGTTTCGTCCTGATTTAGTCCTGTTAAGTCCTGTTTTAGTCCTGGTTTAGTCCTGATTTAGTCCTGGTTTAGTCCTGTTAAATCCTGTTTTAGTCCTGGTTTAGTCCTGGTTTTTGACCTGGTTTAAATCTAGTTTAGATCTAGTTTAGACCTGGTTTTAGTCCTGTTTTAGTCCTGATTTAGTCCTGATTTAGTCCTGATTTAGTCCTGATTTAGTCCTGGTTTAGTCCTGGTTTAGTCCTGTTAAATCCTGTTTTAGTCCTGGTTTAAATCTAGTTTAGATCTAGTTTAGACCTGGTTTTAGTACTGTTTTAGTCCTGTTTTAGATCTAGTTTAGACCTGGTTTTAGTCCTGGTTTAGATTTAAACTAGGACTAGTTTAGACCTGGTTTCCGGCAATGAGTGGAATTACTGAAAAAACAGGAAAATACCGCTGTGTAATCCATTTATTTCAACAAAGTAACTGTAATCCAATTACCACTCACTGAAACAGTAACTGTAACTGAATACAGTTACTCATAATTTGTACTCTGATTACGTAACTCCGTTCCATGTAATCTGTTACTCCCCAACACTGACTACGATGTTTTCTGGGCCAAAACCCCTCTAAATTGCACAAATATTTTTATTTGACAGATAAAAATACAAGAAAACGCATTTATTTTGTTGAAATAAGTTGAAAGTGTCTGACAAATGTGTTAAAAACTAAAAGTGTGTAAAAAACTATGTGTAAAACTATAATTTATATTTATCTAGTGGGATAATAACCCTTGTAAAGTCCAAAGTAGATCATCATAAAAGGTTGTTACACTTGCGCTTTTAAGACCGTTTAAATCAAGCAGAGCCCCTTTAAGCCCAAATCTTGTTAGTCTGAGAGAGAATTGTGGTTTTCTTTTCCCCACGTGGAGGCAGAATGCAAACAGATCAATTGAAGTTATTCAGTGGGAGAGCTGTTTTCACAAAGTTGGAGTTAAGTCGTTTAAAGTTTCCATTGGTGAATCAATATTTGTTTGTTAAGTGGTGAGGCTTTTACCCACTTCAGAAGAACACGATTATGTGGATTGCAAATATATCTGAGAAGGAACTTTTCTTTCGTGAAGAGCTGGTAGGAGGCGTCTTCGGGATATTACTTCCATTTCTTACTCCCGTTTATAAAGTAAAAACAGATAATTCAATAGAAATTATAATGAAGATACCTAAAGCCATTTGTGATAGAAATAAATGACTATATTTTGATTATATTAAAGGTGGAAGGGACACACGTTTTCTGCTTGAGCTGACCTGCTTTTCTAAATGGAGATGGAATCGGTTTGCCTGGAATGTTTCATAATATTGCATTAATTGTATCTCTTCTCTATTAAGCCAATTTTCCTTGTATTTATTACATTACGGGCAAGTTTAACGGGATACTGCGGCAGACAAACAGTCCGTGAGCTCACAACCACCCCACCAGAAAATCTGTGCGTAATTATGACTTATGGTTTTTAATATGTAATAAAAGAATAAAATCAATGCAATATATCAAAATAAAGTTAATTAGAATATACCACATGCACAGAACCCCACACGGATATGAAGTATTGCAGTATTCTGACCTGGGGGGACAGGGCTGAGGGTTACAGATGCGGATCATTGTTGGAGGTTTACTGGACTCTTCACACAGAGAGTCGTTCACCTCAGTGCTCAGGCTGCGCTCCACACACTTCACTACAGCTGTCTGTTTACCTGCACAAAAGACAGACACAGAGAGATAGAGATTAATTAAATAGATAAATTCAGACGTCCTTGTAGCGCATTCACACTTTTCTTCACAAAGCAAAATAGACAGACCTTAAATATAACATATGGGGAGTTGTCTGAAACTATTCAAATACAGTATAGCTTACATTCATTTCCAAAAAGTTTTCTGTTCATCCAAATTGTTTCACTGAACTCGCAGCGCTGAATGAATCGAATATCCATGAACTATTGGGGAACTTTGGGAGGAAAGAAAATCACATTTGCCTTGAAGGTGGACTGGCCTGGTTCATCAGCCGGTTTCACTTCGTGGAAACCGTCTGACCTCGCAGCATCAGGATTCGTTCGCTCGACGGTAGAGGGGTACTTTTTTTATTTAATCAATCACTGCTATTTGGTTGTGACGTATGTAATGCGTCAAATCCCGTAGGAAAAAGGGTAAATACATCTTTCCCCTTGATAAAATTCACCAAACATTCTCTTTGTTCCGGCTTTAGATCCTCAATCTCAGGAATCGTTGCCAACACAGAATGTATGTCTTCGTCTACATCCATCTCGACCGCTTTGTTTACTGTTGTGCTGTTTCACAAAAGGACCCAGACAGGTGTTTGAGTTTGACATCATGGCTTCACAACTCTTCTCTGATTGGTCAGCGCGAGGTCTAGAACTTCCAGGGTTCTTGCAAACCGTCTAGTGTATTCCGATTCCTGATGGAGTCGCTGGAGAGAAATGAAATTGAGCGGAGGCACTAGGTGGCACGAGCCAGGCTAAAGGTGGAGAAGCGCTATATAAAAATGTGACCATTTACCAAAAAAGGTAAAAAATTTTAATCTGAAGGATGAAGACATAAAATTAAATAAAACACAAATAATTACAGGACTGTTCCTTACACTATGCTAAAACATAAATCTAATTAATTATATTACAATGTATTCCGTTACATGGTCCAATCAGAGTATTGTAATATTCTGAATAACTAGAATACTTTCACTTTAGGCTGCATTGTGTGAACGCAATATAGGATTAAAACAGAATTGTTTGTCGTACAGTGTTTTATGCTTTTCTTTTTTCACACACACATAGCCAATAAAACATCACATATTAGAAGAGAAACAAATTGCATTTTTTCAGTAATGCCATGCAGTCTGAAGCCTGTGAAGTCTGTGATCAGATATGTGTTTGTTTGCAAAGTAGCTGCATTCTCAACAAATGAAAGATACATATATTTCGTACGTGCATTTTGTTACTTCCAAACACTTCCAATAATCTATGTGTTTGATGATGGGGGTAATAATGTCCTCACCAGTAGCACAGGAGGCGGAGCAGTCAGTGAAGCCTCTGTAGTCCCAGCTGTAGAGCTCGGTCCTGAAGGAAAGCGATCCCAGAGCGGCGCCTGTCTTGGAGTCTCCACAGGGGCCTGAGCTGCACGGCCTCTGCCTCTGGGGGCGCTCTCCTCCGCACTCCTCCTCTGGAAGGTCCACCTCTGTTTTAGTGAAGGACAGAAACACCTGACACTTCAGCTCTCGCGTCTGTACTCCCGGACCACAGGAGGTGCTGCAGGGAGACCACGGCCCAGGGACAAATCTGCAATAAGAAAAATGAGAAAACTGTAAAGACATTTTGGCATATTCCCCGTCTTGTCCACATGTAGTTATGGTTACACAAGAGAGGTGTGATGTTTTTCGCACTTCAAAATTGACCGATGTGTGCTCCCAGCTCTACTGCAGTGGTTCTCAAACTGTCAATTTAGTCTACATTTCTGAAAGCCCCTGGGGGCAGGTGCCACTGAAGGATGATTTGAATCCTGAGAACACACTGTACAATACCAACAAAACATGCCTGTCTTAACTTCATCTTAAAGCCACATTATGTAACTTTTTAGCCAAAAATAAGTAAAAGTATGTTGTTCTCATTTTGGTTACTTTTAATTAATTGAAAAACACATGTCCTTACGCTCATAGGCTTGCATCTCCACAAACCTGACTCTTACTTGGCCTAACGTCGTATAATTTACTATAATATTCCACAGTATGACACAACACATATCAGTTTCCATAGAGAATGTTACAAATTATGGTTTTAACTCTCTGTTTCCATGGAATTATGCAGGTGAGTTAAAGGGACAGCCCAGAGTTTTGGACACATAACCTTATTTTCTAGTGAGTCAGAGTGTTGGAGACGTGTGGAGATACTTTTTAAAAATATTCCATCCAGTCCTTGTATTTGCAGAGGTCGCTGGTGCTAGGCTAGTGCACGTCAATGGCCATAGTTATCCTACCACTAAAAACAGTCTTACCCACTCCACAAAACACTCAAAGTAAATATATTATTATGCCAGACTGTCAATGTAAATGTCTGTGTTGATAAAATAATGTTTGAAATAAGACTAACCTTGCATCTCATGAATTGTCGCATGTTGAGGAACTATTTTCTCATATATCAGTCCGCCGCTGCCAAGTACAACTCGCTGCTGCTGCTCAGACATAAATCCTTCAAATTCAAGGTTGGTTTTACTTCTAAAATGATTCTGTTGACACAGACATTTACATCGACAGTCTGGTGTAATAACAGATTTGTTTCGGGTGTTTTGTGGAGTGGGTAAGACTGTTTTTAGTGGCAGGATAACTATGGCCATTGACATGCACTAGTCTAGCACCAGCGACCTCTGCAAATACAAGGACTGGATGGAATATTTTAAAAAGTGTCTCCACACGTCTCCAACAGTAGGAAATGAGGTCCTATGTCCAAAATTCTGGACTTTCTCTTTAAACAGAACATAAACCAGGCCAATAAATAAAACCTACTTTCGAATTTTCTGTTATCACAAAATATAGCATGACGTGAGCAGCCTCAGGTCTGCCTCGACTTTTGTTTGTTCTTCTAATACGCAGTAAGCCCAAAGCCCAGCTGGTAATCCTGACCAATGGCCAAACTCAGGTTCTGTGGACAGGTCCTCGAGCACTGCACTGCGGTCGCCCACTGCCCCCAACAGTTTACCCCGAGGCTCTGGCTGAAGGATGGGTCAAAAGCACAGGACAAAACCTCCTATGGGTGCAAAAGTCGACAAACAAAATCCAAGCAAATGATTAAGCTAAATAACTCTTAAAGGGTCCATATTATACTATTTTCTGATCTATGTTAAGATAAGATAATCCTTTATTGTTCTGCATGGGAGAAATTTGTCTTGGGAAAGGGGCACACATGCTTTATCAAAAGACAGGATGACACAACGACAAAAGCCACAAACAAACCTCCACCACAGAACATAAATAAATAAGAGACCAAGTATGACCACGAGTGATGCACCAACAGGACCTTTAAGTCACTCTTTACAGGAAAGACCTTCGCAATCTTGTATTCTATTAATAATTGCACACTCCTAAAGCCTAAGTGCAGTTTTGATTGCACATTCCCTTGACTTATGTACAATTGATTGCAAATTTCCCTGACTTACGCGCAGTTTTGATTGAGTGCGTATACATGCACATCAGTATCCCGGTTATGATCGGATTTTTTGAGTATCCCGGTTTCTTCATGGTGCATGTATACACAGTACCCTGGTTACTGCAACATAAAGTTGAGTGCGCATGCGTCCAGAAGACACTTTCCAGTCTTTTCACCACAACAGTAACAACATAAATAAAGTGACCAACATAAATAAGTGACCACACGAGTGAAATGACTGTAAAATTAAGAGCTGCGCTAAATCTGCACACGTACAATCTGCACTCATGTAATCGCTGAAAAGCTAAAACATGAACTATCTCCTATACGCACAGAACACACTTACCATCATTAGCACCTCTTCTGTCACAAAAAGATCACACATAATCCACTGAGTCGTGTCATTTAGTCCTAAAAGAAGCTGATCGCATCAGCGGCACAAGGAGTGAGCTGTTTTTATCAGCGCTAACAGTTTTTACTAATTAGCCTAGGCGGTCTTAAGTTTCGTTTCTGTAAAAAGTAAACAAATGTGATCAGAGCTTAATTATATGATCAAACGGGCTCATGTGGTTCTATAGTGGTTTATATGTTGTAAAGTTGAGTTTATTTATGCATAAGATTTTAATGAAGAATCTGTTGGGTTCGATGTGTGCAGTGGATTGTGGGAGATCTCACAGCTCCTCACCGCTGGTTAAACCTCCTTAGCCTCTTATGCTAAAGGAGCTCACTTTTTGTATTTTTCCTGGTTTATCAAATTGATTTTAGTTAATTTTTGAGCTTGCGCATTTGTAAGATTATGTCAAGAAACCGGGATACTCCATTTGATCATGTATATGGGGATATGAGTGTCCCGGTTTCTCAGTGCGCATGTAAACACAGTAACCCGAATACTGACATAACCGGGATATGGCTAATAACCGGGATACTGATGTGCATGTATACGCACTGACTGTACATTCCCTAAGCCTTTTACTTTTATTTTTTAACTGTGCTCTCTGAGTTTAGCAGATTAATGGCTATGATGTTATAATGTTTTCTCATAAAAAAAAAAAAAAAAAAAAAAAAAACATACCTGGAGTTGTGCTTTGTTCAATCACTCTACTGAACAAAAGGTAAACGTAGCTGTTAACTTGAAAACTACCTCATCATGACGTCACAAGGTGGAACAGAGCGTTTTGAGCTTTGGAGATGTAAACAGACTAAGGGCTTATTGACATGAGAAAGCTTGCAGGTAAAAACGACAAAATGGTTTATCGGAAGTGCCTTTCGTTTAGAAGGTGACGGCGTTTTTGGGCTTAAAAATGCAAAAATCTGAACCCGCCCTCCAGAGTGGCAAAATTTGAATATGCTCCACTGTCGCGTTTCCGTCTACACTGCCAGATCTGCTCACGTCGGGTACTCATTTACCTCACGTACATCACCACCTAGTCGCAATTTCATGCATACCCAATCGAATTCCGCAGTAGAATAAAAAGTGAAGACGCGACGCCACTTTTGCGTCTTCTGTTCAGACCGACATCATATAAATGTAGCCTAAAAATAAAGGGTAACTCAGATGTGTGAATGAAGTAAAACACAACTCCGAGTGTGTTTTTGAGGAAATCACAACATTATAACATGCCATCAAGCTCACAAGAGTCAATTTAGCGTAATATAGGACCTTTAATTAGCTGTGCTTTAGCGATTATTGACTAAGTATTGCCTCCTCCCACACCGAACATAACGCAGATTTTCATTTCTCTTTCTAATGTGTCTTTGTGGTCTGTTTCTCCGTGTGGGCTGCAGCAGATGTGTTCTTCCGTATGCTTTCTGAGCCCTGGGAGGCCACATAAAAATGCACTTTGAGTCCGGCTCCTCTGTTCCCAGTGCTGTGGAGGAGATAAGGACAGCACACTAGAGAAGCCTCATAGTATTTTATTAATATGAAGATGAAGCGGGGAGGAAGGGTAAACAACAGCTCACAGACAGAGGCAGGGGGCGGCGGAGAGAGGAGGGACACGCAGTCATGGAGAGTACGTTTAGTAAGAGGGGTAAATAAATGAACAAAGATGCAGCTAATTAATACATTAACTTGTAACTGGCAGGAATCCAAACACATTTACATAAGAACTGCGGCAACAGGCCCGCCACGAGAAAACTTTCATGGTGTAGCTTTAAAACCCTTCCAGACCTAAGGGCATTTTTAGTACCTCTGTCCTCGCCTGGATTTTGTTCTGTTAAAACTCCCCCTTTTACCCCCCTAATGAAGTGTTATACATCCTTTTTTTCAGTACAACCTGTTATTTCACAATCTGCATGCTGTAGTTGTGTCATATGGCTGCAATAAAAGCTATAGGACCAGGAATACAAATGAAAAAAAGAAAAAAGGAAAATAAAATTCACACTCTATCATACAAAACACAAAGCATGTATAAACAACTTTTTGGACATAAAGAAATGCTTAATTTAGGGTTTCAGCTACAAAAATGCAAAATGTCAAGTCTGTACATAAACTAAAAATATACTTATGCCCTCAAAACTAAAAAAATGTGCAGTCGCCTCAGGACTTTCCTGGTACCAGTCATGGAAACAGCTTGTGTCAGGTCCAAGGCACAGAGCCACATCACTTCCTGCATTTCCATGGCGTTTATTAGATTTGTATTTGTACATGTTGAGCGAAATGCAATGTGTAATGTAAGTTGTCATTTGCACTTAGAGCTGATCTTTCAATTGTGACGAACAGAGACGCTCAGAGCAGTCGACCGTTTTGACTCACTACACTCTTTGGCAAAGTTTGGGCCGATCAAAATGGACACAGTGCATGCACTTGGCGGAAAACAAAGTTCCTACTGGACATTTGTTATCCCGACCTCCTCACACAGTGTGCTTGGAACGATAATGCCGGAGACATTTTTGGAAAGCCAAACGTCTTATCTTTTAAAGGAAAAAAAAGTAAGGTTCTATCTTTTATGGTTGGAAAGTTATGCATGATTATATAAAACATTTGCAACACCATTGGTCTGGAAGGGTTAAAGGTCCTATGTTGCGCAAAACCGACTCTTGTGAACTTTAAGCCAAGTTATAATGTTGTTACCTCCCTCAAAAACATACCTGGAGTTGTGTTTTCTTTCATTCACACATGCTACAGCTACTTTTTTTAC